ACAGGCCCCCAGCACTGCAGAGGTGGGACAGGCCCCCAGCACTGCAGAGGTGACACAGGCCCCCAGCACTGCAGAGGTGGCACAGGCACCCAGCACTGCTCGTGGAAAATGCCAGCAGCCTCTGCACCCAAGGGCTGGGCTCTGAGCTAGTAACTTCACTAAATAACTGACTGACATACGAACTTTGCTGCATAGTCAGTTGTAAGGGAGTGGGCTGAATTAAGACACTATCCCTAAAGAAACTCGACGAGGCCTTGCCTTGGATAAGTGAAATGGTCCTGTTCCAGTCTGCTCCATCTCCCCACCTCAGGCATGCTTTGCATCACATGTATTTTTGTGGTTCATCACTTTCTTCATTCAGTTAGTAGGTTTACAATTAATGTTGTTATTAGAAGGAATGGTTTTAATGACAAATTTTCAGTGATAGTTTTTGAGCTGCAAAGGTTTATAATGCAGATCGTTATAGAGACATTATCCATTACAGCTGATGTGAATAACTGAAGGAAAATGAGTTCAACTACCACAGTTTACATAATGAAGTAAACTGCAAAAATCCTTTACTGCTCATATCGATTTTATCTGCAATAACATATAGCCTGTGTTTGAAGAACAGCATCCCTAAGTTAACATGCCATTTCAGCTGCTCGTTTCCCCGGTTCCACAAAGGCAAGGCGCTTACATTTGGGTGTTAACTTTAACAGCATTGATACTGATGCACAGAAGGTTGTTTGCATAAGGCCACCAGCCCTAGCATCGATCTGGCTGAGCACTGACTGGCTGCCCCACAGCAGGCAGCCCTGCCTCTGGAGGGCAACACCAGCCACAGGTTCCCTGCTTCGGACGATGACAGAGCGAGGCATCCCGCCCCAGGGCCCCTTCCATCCATTAGCTCGTGTGTCACACAGTGACACAGAACGGCTTGGGATCCTAAACATCACCTAGTTCCAATTGCTGTGCCCCGGGCAGGGACATCTTCCAGCAGACCAGGTTGCTCAAAGCTGCGTCCAACACCTCGAGGGACGGGGTGTCCACAGCTCCTCCGGGCAGCCTGTTCCAGTGTCTCACCACTCTCACAGTGAAGAATCCCCTCCTGGCATCTAAATCTTCCCTCTCTCAAGTTTGAAACCGTTACCCCTTTTCTTATCCCTACGTGACGGTGTAAAACACCCCTCCTCGGTGTTCCAGTTCCCCTCTCGGGTACCGGGAGGCTGCCGCGGGGTCT